CATTCTTCTTCTTTTTTTTTTTTTGGTAGGAGGGGTTGAACCCAGGGGTGCTTAACTACTGAGCCACATCTTCAGCCCGCCCCCCCCCCCACTTAATTTTTTTTTTTTTTTAATTTAGACAGGGTCTTGCTGAATTGCTTAGGGCCTCTCTAAGTTGCTGAGCCTGGCTTTGAACTTGGGATCCTCTTGCCTCAGCCTCCCAAACCATTGGGATTATAAGTGTGCACCACCACGCCCAGCTCTAAATTGAGCATCCTTCTGAGTAGCATAATAAAATCTCATGCCATCTGCTCTGTCACACGTGGGATAAACATCCTTTTGTCCAGTGGATCCATGCTAAATATTCCACCTTCCCATTAGTCACTTAGTAGCCCTCTCAGTAATCAGATCACTTATTGTAGTATTGCAACACTGTGTTCAAGTAATCCTTATTTTACTTAATAATGGCCCCAATGTGCCAGAGTAGTAATGCAGGCAATTTTACTATAGTATGTCATCATAATGTTCTTTTCCATCATTAGTGTTTGTTAATTATTTCTTACCATGTCTAATTTATAAATCAAATTGTATCGTTGGTATATATGTATAAGAAACAACAGAGCCAGGTGTGGTGGTATATACCCATAAGCCTAGTGACTCAGGAGGCACAGGCAGGAGGATCACAAGTTCAAGGCCAGCCTTGGTAACTTAGTGAGATACTATCTCAAAAACAACAACAACAACAACAACAAAAACAACCCACAAAGGGCTGGGGATGTAGCTTCGTGGTAGAGCAGTCAGAGTTCCATCTCTGGTACCACAAAAACAAAACAGAACAAAACACAGTTTATATAGGGTGGGTACTGTCTGTGATTTCAGGCATATGTCTATTGGGGGTCCTGGACTGTATCTGCTGTGGATGAGGGTGAGTTTACTGGGTCTATACTGTTAGACGGCAACTTTTGTCCATCTCTGAATCCAGGGGTGTTTTACCACTGAGCTACTATCCCCAACCCTTTTTTAAAATTTGAGACAGGGTCTCGATAAATTGGCTTACAGCCTTGTGAAGTCACTGAGGCTGGCCTTGAACTTGTGCTTTTCCTGCCTCAGCCTCCCCAGCTGCTGGGATTACAAGTGTGCACCATGCCTAACTTCCTGCACTCTTAGGACCACCCTCTTCTTTCTCCTTTACCATCAATCACAACTCCTTCTCAGAGAAAGTGATTGACGTCTTTCAATATCTTGTGGATCTGGAAAACTCTGATCCCTTGCTCTTGTTGCCACCAGTAAACTTCAGTCTCTAAAGCGTTCCAATTCTAATCTTGTTTCTTCAGCTCTCAGTAGCATTGAAGAGGACCTGCCTTCATTCTTGGAGCCCTTTTCCAGACACCCCTGCATCTTCTTCTGACATTGGCTCTTTCTTCTTTTCCAGGGAGCACCCCTTGGGTCTCTTATTACTTAACCCCACGACTTCCTCTATCCCTTATGTAATCCATGACCCTTTTTCTTATCTCATGAGCTCTGAAACTCACATTTCTACCGTCCCATGACATAACCCGATCACCATCCATCTCAGATCCACTTGACCAAGTTCAACTTGTTATGTGCTTTCTCTGATGCCCTGTTCCTTCCACATCACTGAGAAGCACTATTCTATGGGTCACAGAACCAAACCAATCTACCAATTGATTACAATTCCTATCAAAATACCAATGGCATTCTTCACAGAAATAGAAAAGGAAAAAAAAAAAAACTCCTAAAATTTATGTAGAACCACAAAAGACTCCCAATAGAGAAAGTGATCCTGTATCAAAAGGAACAAAATAGTAAGCATTACAATATCTGACTTCAAAGCATATTCCAAAGCAATAATAAACAAAGCAGCAGGGTACAGATGTAAAAATGAACACATAGACCAATGGAACAGAATAGAAAACCCAGAGATAAATCTACACCTCTGTAGTCAACTGATTATCAGTGAAGACATCAAACACATAGATTATAGAAATAATAGGGCTGGGATTGTGCCTCAGTGGTAGAGTGCTTGCCTAGCATGCATTAAGCACTGGGTTCAATCCCCAACACCACATAAAAATACTAAATAGACAAAATAAAGGTATTGTGACCATCTACAACTAAAAATATTTTTAAAATAGAATATTTCCTTCCTTCCTTTTTTTTTGGGGGGGGGGTGGGTACTAGGGATTGAACCCAGGGGTGCTTACTACTGAGCTACAACCCCAGCCCTTTTAAATTTTTTTTGAGATGAGATCTTGCTGAGGCTGTCCTTGAACTTGTGATCCTCTTGCATTTGCCTCCCAAGTACTTAGGATTATAGGCATGTGCCATAGTGTATGGTAAGGACAATTTTTTCCCATAAGTGGGTCTGGAAAATTGGATATCCATAAACAGAGAAAAGAAATTAGAACCCCATCTCTCACCATACACAAAAAATCAACTCAAAATGAGTTAAAAGCTTAAACATATGACCCCAAACTATGAAACTAATAGGAGAAAATGCAGGGAAAACACTACAAGGTATTGGTCTGATTTTTTTTTGGATGTGGCCTCAAAAGCATAGGCAACAGAGGCAAAAATAGACAAATGGATTACATCAAATTATAAAGTGTCATTACAAGCTGGATGTGGTGGCACACGCCTGTAATCCCAGTGGCTCAGGAGGCTGAGGTAGGAACATTGAGAGTTCAAAGCCAGCCTCAGCAAAAGTGAGGCACTAAGCAGCTCAGTGAGACCCTGTCTCTAAATAAAATACAAAATAGAGCTGGGGATGTGGCTCAGAAGTGGAGTGTCCCTGAGTTCAACCCCTGGTACCCAAAACAAACAAAACAAAACAAAAGTGTCATTACAGCAAAGGAAATCGTAGACAGAGTAAAGAGACAACTTGTGGAATGGGAGATGATGTTTGCTAACTATTTATCTGACAAGGGATTAAGTTCTAGAATATATAAGAAACTCAACAACCCACCACCAAAAAGCTGAATAATCCAATTAAACATGGGTGAATGACCTGACTAGTCATTTCTCAAGAGGATATATGAATGGTCAATACACATATGAAAAAATTCTCAACATTGCTAATCATCAGGGAAATGTAAACCCAAACCACAACGAGAGATCACCTTGCCCCAGTTAGAATGGCTATTAGCAAAAAGACAAAAAACCAAACCAAACCAAAACAAAATGCCAGGCATGGTGGCATGCCCCTGAATCCCAGTGAGTAGGGAGGCTGAGGCAGGAGTGCACATTCAAGGCCAGCCTGGGCAATTTAGTAGGACCCTCAGTAACTTAGGTGAGACCCTGTCTCAAAAAAAAAAAAAAAGGGCTATGGGGCCGGGGTTGTGGCTCAGTGGTAGAGCGCTTGCCCAGCACGTGTGAGGCCCTGGGTTTGATTCTCAGCACTGCATATAAATAAGTAAAACAAAGGTTCATTGACAACTAAAAAATATTTTAAAAAATGGACTGGGGATGTAGCTCAGTGGTAAGACACCATGGATTCATTCCTTAGTACAAAAGAAAGAAAAACAAAAGACAAAAAAATTGCAGATGCTGGTGAGGATGCAGAGAAAGGGGAATTCTCATACACTGTTGGTGGAAATGTAAATTAGTATAACTGCTATGGAAAAGAGTATGGAGCACCCTCTGAAAACTAGAAATAGAAATCCCATATGATCTAGCCATCTCACTACTGGGTATATATTCAAGAAAATTGAAATCATAATGTGGAAGAGACCTGTGCACTCATGTGTTTATTGCAGCACTATTCACAACTGTCAAGAGGTGGAACCAACCTAGGTGCCGTCAATGAATGAATGGATAAAGAAAATGTGGTGTATAAACATAGTGGAATATTATTCATCTGTAAAAAGCAACAAAATGCCATCATTTGCAGCAAAATAGAAGGAACTGGATGACATTTTGTCAAGTGAAATAAATCAGGCACAGAAAAACAAATACCATGTGTTCTCATTGATATTTGGAAACCAAAAAATTGATCTCCAAAAAGTAGAGAGTAAAGTAGTGGTTATCAGAGCCTGGGAAATGTGTGGGGGAGGAGGAATGAAGAAAAGATGGTTAGTGGTACAAGGGTGCACTTGGAAGGGGGAATAACTTGTAATATTCTATAGCACAGTAGGATAACTATGGTTGGCAATTGAATATTTCAAATTAGCCAGTAGAGAAGATTTTGAATGTTCTAAACACAAAGAAATGATATATGTTCATGATGATGGAAATGCCAGTTACCCTCATCTTATCCTTATACATTGTATATAGGTATTGATATGTCTCAGTGTGTCTATGTACTCTAATATACAGGCTTATACACACACACACACACACACACACACTCACACAACACATATATACATATATGTTGACATTGATATAGATCGATTGATTGATTGTTCTGGGGATTGAACTCAGAGGCACTTTACCATTGAGACATATTCCTAGCCCTTTTTATTTTTATTTTGAGACAGGGTCTCACTAAATTGCTGAGGCTGGCCTGAAACTTGCAATCCTCCTGCCTTAGCCTCCTGAATCAATGAGGTTACAGGCATGTGCCACTGTGCCTGGCTCCAATATATATATATATATATATATATATATATATATATATATATATATATATATATATATATTTTGTTTTGTTTTGTTTTTTGTTTGTTTTGGTACTAAAGATTGAACTCAGGGGCACTCCACCTCTGAGCCATATCCCCAGTCCTATTTTCTATTTTATTTATAGACAGGGTCTCACTGAGTTGCTTAGTGCCTCGCTTTTGCTGAGGTTGGCTTTGAACTCAAGATTCTTCTGTCTCAGCCTCCCAAAACGCTGGGATTACAGGCTTGCACCACCATGCCTGGCTCTAATATATTTTTTTAAAAATTTGTCAAGGCAGAAACCTTGGAGCATTGCTAATGCATCTCTCTTGTATGAAGTCCTAGCAAGTCCAATGCCAGAACATCTTTGGAACACATTGATTGATTGATTGATTGATTGATTCAGTCAGCAAACATTCATTGAATATATTTGATATCCTAGGCACTGTTCTGGAGGCTGAAGATATATCAGCAAGCTGAAAAAACTCTTGAAGTCTATAAGGAGAGAAAGAAAATAAGTTGATTAAAAGAAAAGAAACACATAGTAAGGCCCATGATGATAAGTGCTCTGACAATAAGGTGGGGGAGGGGTGGAGAGAGAGGAGTGGGTGGCTCTTTTATGTTGTGTAGATGGGGAGAGCCTTACTGTTCAGGTGACTTTTTTAGGGGGGGGGTACCCGGGATTGAACTCAGGGGCACTTGACCACTGAGCCACATCCCCAGCCCTATTTTGTATTTTATTCAGAGACAGAGTCTCACTGAGTTGCTTAGTGCCTCGCTTTTGATGAGGCTGGCTTTGAATTCAAGATCCTCCTGCCTCAGCCTCCAGAGCTGCTGATCAGGTGACATCTGAGTGGAGATCAAAAGGAAACACAGGTCAGCCAGGCAGATATTGGGCCTTTCTTCTGCATCCCATGGCCACAGCCCATCACTATTTCTCCCCTGAACCCTGGCACTTCCTTCCCATTGGCTTTTTGCCCCCACTCTCACCATTCCTTCTCCATTCCCTTTCAGTGTTTCCTGTTTTCAATAGGATACTGTTCAAACTCCCAACTATACACAATACAAGGGCAGTCACAACTCTCTCCAACCCTTTTCTCAGCTAAACCTGGGACAGAATTTGCTGGGGTGGACAGAATTCCAAGATGGCACCATGATGTTGGTGTTACCTCCGAATGACCCCCTCCTCTTAAGAGAGGGTAAATTCGGTGGCTTGCTTCCAGCAAGAAGCAAGAATATGGCATTCCCACCTTCTATGTATAAAATTCTGTTTTATCCGACTTTATCAAGATTCTGCCACCCTTGAAAAAAACAGCCATGTTGTAAATTGCCTATGGAGAGGACATGGCGGGGAGCCGCAGACGGTCCTAGGAGCTGAAGGCAGCCTCTAGCCAATAGCTGGGGTGAGGAAATGAATCCTGGGAAAAATCTGAATGAACTTGGAAGAAGATTCTTCCTTGTCAAGCCTCAGACAAAATCATAACCCCAGCTGACACCTTGTGTAGCCTGGAGAGTCCCTGAGCAGGGAACCCAGCCAGTCGCGCCCAGACCCTGACCCACCAAAGCTGAAATAATGCGTGTGTGTTATTTTCAGCCTCTGCATTTGTGTTGGGTTGTTACACACCGAGAAGAAACGCATACACTTACCCTTCATATCCTTCGTCAGACTGCCCCTGCTTCTGAATGAGTTTTCTTCTTCATGCCCTGCTGTGAACACAAATTCTATGTACACAAGGTCTCCAACCTTACCTTTTCTCTGTTTCTCCTTTAAAATCCCATCAAAATGTCCCCTTTTCCCTATATGCCATATAACCACCCTCCCAACCCCTAATCCATGGTCCCCACCTCTCCTCCACTCATGGTATTATTTGCATCACAGTCTCTCTCATATGCATATTTATATTTGGGGTGCTGAGGATGGAACTCAGGGCCTCGTGCATGCTACACAAGTGCTCTACCACTGAGCTGCACCCCCAATCCTAGTCCCTTCCTTATTCATCTTTCCATCTCAGGATCTAGTTCAGTGCCTGATTTCCAGAGTGTGGTGTGTTGTCTTTGGTGGGGTTGCTGGTATCCACAAACTCCTTAAAATTGCCGGGTGAATGTGGCTCAGGAACAATTTTTTTTTCTGGGAGCATAGTTTCCAACAAACTGTCAAAGAGGCTTGGGGTCCTGGAAAGACTGATTGAAACAGGGTGTGGATGCCAGTTTGTTGAATGTAAGCCACTGGGTTATGGCCCACTACGGGGATGTTCGTTTTTAGCCTGCTGCTAATTGTGGCTTTGCTGGAGGAATTGGAAGCTCCCGCTGTGTTTTGCAGCAGAGCTGCCATTTGACAACTGTAAATGCACATTTACACAGATGCCCCAGGCTCCCACTAGGGGTGAATGGGGTCCGGCCTGGGGAAAGAGAGAGGAAGCAGGGTGGGCAAGGGTGCAGGGAAACCCAGCCCACTGCAAGAAGAACAGACAAAATGCAGTGTCTTTGGGGACAAAGTGTGCAGGAGGCACCTAGAAGCCTGGCTAATTCTGCCTGCTCCTTTTAATAGTGCCAGGTGCTAGGATAACTATTCTACTCTGCCAGCTCCCCTGGGCTCTAGAGGATGGCGTTTGGCAGTGCCAGTATATTTTTAGCCCTCCGGCAAGTGGAACAAAGTGCTCAGAGAGGTGCTGTTTCGCTCTCGGCTCTGGGCAACAGTGGCTGCTTTCTCAGAAGGGGAAGTTCCCTCTCTAGACACAGTGGAGCTAGGGTCCAACCCCCCACTTCCCTCTAAGGCTCTCTGACACAGGAACCTGGGAAAGAGATGTCTTCAGCATGGATGGGGGCATGATGTGTGCCCAGCGTGGTTGAGGGGAGACAACCAAGGAGGTAGTCTTTCACCGGGAGGGGACTTCACAAAGCCAGAAACTCCCCTACATGGAGGCTGGCTGCTGCTTCTTTTTCTTTTTTTGGTACTGGGGATTGAACTCAGGGGCACTTAATCACTGAGTCACATCCCCAGCCCTTTTTTAGATTGTATTTAGAGACAAGGTCTCACTAAGTTGTTTAGGGCCTCGATAAGTTGCTGAGGCTGGCTTTGAACTCACGATCCTCCTGCCTCGGCCTCCTGAACTGCTGGGATTACAGGTGTGCACCACTGTGCCTGGCCTGGCTTCTTCTTGATGCTTTCTCTGGGGAAAAATCTTGAGTCCTAGGACTACCCAGGGTTAGAGGGCAAGCCAGGCAGCTCTAGGCCAGGGGCTAGTAGGATAAATGGGCCCCTAACCCCAGCCAGGAAAGTCCTGTCCCTGATGGCTGCAGAGAAGGGGAGATGCGGGTGAGAGTGGCAGGAAGCCACTTCCTGATGACCCAGGGATGAACACTCAAGGTCAACCTTGAACATTGATCTGCTAAATATTTGCTTGGAACTCTGACCCAGTGAACTTCCTGTCCTCACCCCTTCCCCAGCTGCAACAGCACTGCCCCTTGATTCTGGACGGATGGGCATCACTTCCCAAAGCGGCCCTTTCCAGGCAGGTGTGACTGCCTCGTCCCAGCTGTGGGTGTGGGGGGTGGGCAGGCTGGGAGCTGGGACAGTTACCTCCACGGACTCTGTGTTTGACGTGGCTACATCAGCAAAGTTGGTCTGAAGTGGTCAAGGTCCAGTGGTCACAGCTGCCCACGTAGAATCAAATTCCACAAGGATTAGGCTCCCTGGGCCCCCTTTCCACCAAAGCTGTCATAGAGCAGCTTTCTCAGAGCAGACAAATGGAGGCTGAGAGGGGCTTTGGCCAGGGCTTGGAAAGAATCTCTTTCACCTCCCATGTGAAGCAGGTGCTCACCTTGTGTGTGTGTGTGTGTGTGTGCACACGCATGTGCGTGCACACACACACTACCCCATCACCCCATTTCCCCTGATTGCCTATCTAGGGTCAAATTCTGCATAGGATCGTTCCCTAAAGCCTGAGAGTTACTTTGCTCATTTTCCTATGTGGGAAACCATGATTCCCAAAGATTACGCAATTTGTTCAAGCTCACACAGAGAGTTGGGGAGCTAGGTGTCAACTTTGGGGCTGCTGTACCCCAGAAGGAGACAAGATCATGCACCTGTTCTCTAGATTCTAGAGCAAGGGATGATATGAAGGCTGGGTAGAGGGTAGAGGGCAGAGCCACCACACCTGTGATAGCCCGGGTATTTTCCAGGATTTCTTGTGGGGAGAGGATGAAGCTGGACTTGCTGTCGTGGCCACACCACTCTATGTGTGCCTGATCTCGAAGCCAAGCAGGATCGGGCCTGGTTAGCACATGGATGCAGGGCTCTGGATACAAATCAATCAAACACCCCACCCCTCCCTCCAAAAAAAAAAAGCTGACTCTTTTAAGTCACTGTTATTGGGGGTTTTCTGTCATTTAAAGTCAAACTGATACTAAACAAAATACCTGCAGTCACAGCCGTTCCTGCCAGGCTGGCTGCTGCTCTCAGAAGGTGCCTCTGACTCTGTGCTGTTCCCTCCAGCGTTAGCTGTACCTCTCTCTGGTCATGGCAATCCTTATTTTTCCTTCAAAGCCCAGCTACAAAGACCCCCTTCTCCTTGATGCCATCCCTAATTTCTACCTCCTGGGAACTATGAATTCTTTTGTCTTCAAAATTTTCAGGCCCTCAGTTTACTTCATATATTAAAGTTATCTTGTCTGATTGCTGCTTTGCAATCGTTCTTGTCTGCCTGTTTGTCTTACTAGATTGGAGAAGGTAGTGTTTGTCTGGCCTACAGGCAGTGGGGTGCTGGTAACCAGCTCTCTGGGAGAAGAAGCACCTGTTTTGCAGTGCTTGCCCAGCCCCAGGGTGTAAATATTCCCACCGTGGTCACTTTCAAGCTCTGATGGTTTAGCAACCAACTCATGAAATTGCTGAATATCTAACAGCTGGCTCTCATGAGGCAGTGCTAGGAGGCTCTGGCTTGCCACTGCTTATGGGTCTACCCACTGTGGCTGCTTAAGGTTTGAGCATAGTAGGTATGCAGCAAGCTACTGCCACAAAACCTTACTTGGATGGACTGTTCATTTTTTTTTTTTTCTTTTTCTGAAGCTCTTACTTTGTTCCTAGAAGAGTTAGAATGGATCTCAGGGAAGATCACTTGCAAACCTGGTGACGATCCTTCTCCCCTCTCTATATTTATGCTTCTTAGCAATATGACTTTGTAGTCTCTCCCATCAAGAGCTGGGGATTATTTCCAGTCCTTCAGTCAGGACTGACCTTATGGTGTGTTTTAGCCATTGGAATATGATGGCAGTGACTTCTGCTTGTTTTGGGATCCTACAACTACAAGGTGTAAAGGCCAGGCTGTCCTGCTAAGAACGAGAGACCACATGGAGCAGAGGCTCACCAGCTAAGATGAGCCACCCTAGATCAGCCAGACCCAGCAAATCCAGCAGCGGGCCAAAGATCTGGGAGTGATCTTGCCGGGACCAAAAGCCTCACCCAGCTGAGCCCAACTCAAATTGCTAATTCGAGGAATCATGAGCTAAATAAAGAGTTAAATAAATCTAGCCTCTAAATTTTGGAGTGGTTTGTTATGCCACCGCAGAGGCTAACTGATATACCATGATTGCCTCTAAAAGAGCTTTGTATTTGTCTGGATTATCCATTGTCCATTTCTGGATGAGATTGCCCCTTGCTCCCTGTTGCCCCTCAGCTATGACCAGGATGCCAGAGGTCCACATTATCACCCCCGTCCTGTCCAAGTATATGAGTTATGGTAGAGTCTTACCAGCCCTACACATAGCCTCTAGGAACCCAGAAGAGCGACTTTACTGACACACTGATGGGAGAGTTGGACAAGAGACAAGGAGTCTGGCTGCACACCTGAGTGAGTTGAGGTCTCCAAGCCTCTGACTTTGTGCCACGACATCACGGGGCTGAGAGCTTCCTTCTTCCTATGGATCAATGAAGATTTAGTTTCCTTTTCTGGAAAACGTCCATCCAGGATCAGAAAACTCACATGCCTGTTTTTTCTTTGTTATTCTTTCAAGCCCTGTAAAATAATTATTTAATTAATTTATTTATTTTTGGTGGGACAAGAAGATCCTAATTTATTGGGGTGAGACAACCATGTCTTCTACCAAACGAAATAAATTTCTACTTTCAGTTCCAGAGTAAAATCTCGCCTGTAACCTGTTAAGGAGCTTGAGAAAAACCAAACCCAACCTCCTCTGCCGAAGAGGCTTGAACTCCTGAAACTCTGTAGTGGCAAAGAGGCATTCTAGAGAAGCAGAGAGGAAGCAGACACAGATTTGCTGCTGCACCTGGGGTGTTGTGTGGTTTTCTTTTATCCAGCTGTGTGACCTTGGGCAAGTCACCCAACCCCTCTGGGACTACGTATGGTATGGGGCTGGACTAGAGAGCTCCACAATCCCTTCATGATATGGTATTTTTACTAGTTTAAAGGGGGAAAGCCAAAGACAGCCAGACCAGCTTCTAACATTAATCTGTGAACTCTTACCACTGGAGGCGTGTATGTATACTGACTTGGATCTATCACAATGCACCCATTGTGTGACATGAAGTGGTGACATCACACTCTAATGACTCCCAAAGACATTTGATCTTAGGACACCATTGGAACATACACATCCAACATTAGTCATTCCATCACTGAGGTATATCTTATTGACAAGTTGTGTGATCCTGGGCAGATTCTCCACCTATCTGATCTTACATTTCTTCCTCTAAAACATAATGTCATGTGAAAATTTTATAATGTTGAATTCCTATAAATATTGATTGAAAACACAGATAATGATGCTACATAATGCATTACATGGAACGCACACAGAAGTCTGTTTGTTTGTTGTTGTTTTTTTAAATCTACTTATAACAAATTATGTTGGTCCAAAGGTCTCATTTGGCTCCAAGCAGCCGCACTACACCTCAGACCTTTTAGGATGTTTTCATTTTTCAGTTTCAGGATTTTGTATTCATATAACATTCAGTTATATGTGGACACCTGGGGCTCACTTCTTCTTTCCTATAGTAATTTTTTTCTGAGTCTTATTGGAATGCCTTTGATGCTTATCTCAGAGGATTTTTAAAAGTATAAAATGAAAATCCACCTAAACCTCGAAGCTTGGTGCCTAAACCAGTAGATGTTTACCCAACGGTAGCTGCTGCTATTGTAATTTCCCCACAATGCTCGATGTTCACCCAGGCTAACGAGAAGTTTATTTCTCAGCTTCAGCGGGCAGGGACACTTGAGAACCGCTGTTCTGGGAAGGTCAAGTGTTGGGAATCTAGCCATCCGTGCTATCCAGATCACAAGTCATTTTCTCACCTATAGTCGCTCTCCTGCCCTCCTCTCCTCCTGGGAACAGGGTGGCAGAGACTTCTCCCCTTGTTTCTCACCCCTCTATTGCTGTATGGATCAAATACTCAAAGACGTCAGCTGAGACAATCTCCGGCCTTTAGGCAGGGGTGGAACACCTTCTCATTCCCACTGCCCAGCCGAGGCCAGTCGCCTGTCATTTCCTGTTCCCCTGGATCTCTCCCTCTCACTCTGCTGGGTTACCGGGACTGAGCTCTTCAGACTACATTTCCCAGGATCCCTTGCACTCCGGCTTCCTGGTTGGTTCAGCCAATGGGAGGCACTGGCAGGAGATGAGCGCTGGGAGGGAGGGAAAAGCCAGGGTACTTCTCCAGCCAGGTCAGCTCAGGTGATGATGTCTCGGCAGTCCGGTCGCCCTGGCTCCTCCCTGGTTCCAGCTTCTTAACGTACCTTCCTTTCTTTTGTCCCTCCAGTCTTAGGGAAGTAGCAGTTTCTTGTGGCTGCTAATCCTTGGTTCGCTAAGTCTTCCTGTTTAGGTTTTCAGCTCTTCCATCGTCTTTATGTCACTAGTTTACTGTATTAATTAATTGCTGAACTCCTTGACCTGGGTTTGTTTTTCTGATGGGGTCCTGACTGCTGCATCTACCATGGTCAGACATCTAAATGTACAGTCGACTGTATCCACGGGTTACACATCTGTGGATTGAAAATGAAATTTACATCTATACTGAATATGCACAGATTTTTTTCTTGTCATTGTTCCATAAACCATGACAACTTTTTATGTAGCATTTGCATTGTATTAAGTGTTGTAAGTCATCTAGAAATGGTTTAAAGTAGATGGGAGGGTATGTGTAGCTTATATGCAAATACTGTACCGTTTTATATAAGGATTTTGGAATGTGTGGGGTGTCCTGGAACTAATCCCCTTCATATTCTGAGGGATGTATGTATGGGAGTGTTCTTGCCATGTAACTTCCACATGGCCATGACTTTGCAGAAGAATTTTCATGGAACTTTTTCCAGGGTAGCTTCCAAGTTGAATCTGTCCTAGAGGGCAAATGCTTCCTGTGGTTACTTGCTAGCAAAAATGGCCATATTTATCCCCTTCTGCATATCCTACCCCTTTATATTGTGACTGCTGCTCCTCCCATCAAGAAATGGAGTCTAGGGCTGGGGATGTGTGGCTCAAGCGGTAGAGCGCTCACTTGGCATGCATGCAACCTGGGTTCGATCCTCAGCACCACATACAAAGATGTTGTGTCTGCTGACAACTAAAAAATAAATGTTAAAAAAAATTAAAAAAAAAAAAAGAAATGGAGTCTATTTCCTCACCTCTTGAATCCACACCAGTCTGTGACTTGATAAGTAGAATCAAGCCTGTGCCTCAAGAGGCCCAGCATGTTTCCTTGTGCTCCCTTGGATACCTGCCCAGCTGGGACGTGGGCAAGCCTGGACTAGACTGATGGGATGAGAATACAAATCGAAAAGGAGCCATCCCAGCCCAGACGACCCTGGACCAGCTAGTCCTAGCCAAGCTGGTAGCTGCTTCTAGATGCATGGGGAGAGTCCAGCTGAGGAGAGCTGAGCCCAGCCCAGATCAACAGAACCTTTCAGATCACTCACAGATGTAGGGGGTAATAGTAAACTGTTGTTATTTTAAACCACTAAGTTTTAGGATAGTTTATTATACAGTAGTAGCTGGCCTAACCCAAATGTAGATGATAGCAGGAGTTAGAGAATTCCACATTTGTTTCTGATGAATTTCTGATTCATAACATAGTCTATGTCCAGCAGTCCCCAGTGCCAGTGGGGACCTCCCCACTGGGACATGGTCCAGTCCAGCTGGGTCTAACCTCAGTGGCCAACTGAGGACAGGGTGTGTAGGTAGCTGAGTAATTAGACATGGTTGGTCAAGTTCAAAGTGTGATTGCTGGACATAGGGCTAAGATCCTATAGTGATTCTGGGTTTTCAGAGACTTTTTTGGGATAGGGCTACCCTCTTCACTCTGCTGCACTTAGTGAAAAAATGAGGCAGAGAAAGGTTGCTAGTTGCCTGCCCTCAATCCTTTTTCCCTATCTTACCAATTACTAAGCCCCTCTGTTTACTAGATGTAGCGTAGGTTTACTTTACCTGGCTTCCCTTGATACAATGGCCAATCTAAAGAGAGATTACTGGATGGCTCAGATGGGAGGCATCTCCTTTGCCCTTTCCTTCCCTCCCACACTGAGCACGAACATAAGGCAAACCTGCTCCATCTCTTACAGACAGCAGCCCCTTGGCCACCCTAGCAATGCTACCTACAGGGACCTGCTCGGTATCTTCTAGAAGAGGTTATGGGATCATCTAACTGGGCATGTTGTCTTGGCTTCATCAATTCCTTATAGCCTGCCCATAAGAGCCAGAGGGAAGCTCTGTAGGGCCTGAAGTCTCTCACCAGGGCAGCACTATGAATGGGCTGCCTGGTATTAGTGCAGACCTGCCTCTCTGGGGACATCAGAGCTACTTAATTTATTAATGGGCCCATTCCTTATTTCTTGGACTATTGAGAATTCATTCCCTTTATCCAAGGAATGACAAATCGAGTTATTCCAAATTGATTTCCTGTCCCCACCCAATCTATAGCTGACAAGGTCTTTCTCTAAGGTCATCTTCTGGGGGATCCCTTTTGGAAGGTTACCTAACTGCAGAAGGAGACACCTCAGCCCATCCTTCCCAAGCAGGCCCCCCTCTTAGGTGCTCCAAAGCCACAGGCCTGTCACTTGCCCACTCCATTCATGTGACCCTATCCCTGCACCTGCAGGCACTGCGCCTGCCACCCACTTCCTGTTCGAGACCACCCTGGAGGCCCTCCACTCCTCGCTGTCCCTCTCCCTTCCTGGGCCTTCTGCAGCTCAATATAGAAACTCGGAGCAGATGTTTTTGGTAAACCACTGGGCTGTGGATAACCTGTGGGGGATGGTGTGGTGACTGTACATGTGTGTGAGGCATCCCCTTCCCTTCAGGCTTTTTCTTGGGCCATTTGGGCTCTCTGAAAGAGCAAGCTATGAATTCATTTATAGTGGCAGTGACTGGGAGAGCCATGGCAATAAATAATGGTGGCTAAGGACTTTGGGAATATGTCATCCTCCAAATCAGATTTTTCTCCAGTTACCTGTTAAGGTCAGAAGGCTCCATCTGCAGCACCAGTTATGAGGCCCTGAGCAGAGCTGAGAGTCATCCCACCCCTGCCATTAGAGAGGAGGAAACCAGGTGCAGAGAGGAACAAGGACCTGGCCCAAGCATTCTGACTCCCAGAGCTGGGTCTGTCTTCACAGGCTTCCTCCGGGAACTCTGTAAAACTGTAGTCACAACTTAGGGGCTATGTGACAGGCTGTGGATTCAGAGGGGCTTCTGAGCTGCCAGGTGCTGATGGGCTGCTCAGTGCTCCAGAGGACAGGCAGGGCCTTCCACCCATGGTTAGTAAGAGAAGTGCTCTCTGGACCCACTGCCTGTTCTGGGGCCAAAACCTGATGACATCTCTGCTCTTGGGAGGCATCCCTACTGCTCAGAGCAGGCCAGTGAAACCTTGTAAGATGATTGTGCTAGGAAAAATATGGGAAATTCGTCTGTTTACACGGAGCTGGGGATCAAACACAGGGCCTGTGTACGCTTAGGCAGGTGCTCTACCACTGAGCCACACTCCCAGCTCCCAAGTCCCATTTTTAAAAGCAAAATAGAGTAATCCTGTCTGTACAATGTGCATAATGGTTGTATTTGTATACATATGTGATGTGTACATGTGTGGTGCCATGTGTGGATATGTATGTGCATTTGAAGGTGTTTAAAGGTATATTTTGTGTGTGTACGTGTGAGCAATATGTGTGTATGTGCATTGTGGCTGGGTCTGCTGTGAGAGCATGTGTGTATGCATGTGTGCATATATTAATGTGTTATGTGTGTACATATATGTACATTTATGCCACATATGTCTGAGTGTGTTTGTGAAGAACAGCTCAGGCTATGGCATTGTATTGGACCTGGTTTTGTCTCCCACCATGGAAGAAAGTGGCAGCACCATGATAAGCCATCTGTGCTGGCCAGTCTCTCCCTCCTTTCACCATCTTTTTTCTTCCTGCCAGCACCTTCTTTTAGGGACTGTTATGAGTTTATTGCTGCCTGAAGATGATCTGTCCTTTCAGGAGCAGAGCAGTGCATGCCCCTTGCAAAACAAACTAGCAAACCTAGAAGCGTGTGCGCGCGCACACACACACAAACTCATACACAAATAAAAATTGTCCTTTGTTGCTAAACCAACAGTCCTGGCCAAAGCTTAATAAATTCTCCAAGATATGGCGGTGACTTAGGGCCAGAGGAGAAGGAAACACAAACACTCTCTTATCCCAAGGCTCTTGCTCCCTGGCCCCCATAGTCAAGTCTTTGGAACCCTCAAGGGTCCTGTGCCACCTTGTTATTGTCCTTGTTGAATTCTTCATGGTTAATAAGATACCCCAGGTGGCCAGGTAGGCTTAAGCTGTAGAGACGGTCACATGACCTGGGTTTAAGTGAGGTGTTCACTAACTTGAAAACTGCTTCACCTTGGTTGGTCTCTAACCCTCCCCAATCCTCAGTTTTCCTCTCTCTACAATAGAATAAAAATAACAATTGAAGAACACTTTTCAGGGTTAAAATTGTGCCTGTCCTTTTTCTATTTGCTCTCATATCCTTGTTTCCCCCTTTCTACTTTCTGCTTCCTAGCAGAGAGAGATATTTCCAAAATTCTTTCCTCTTAGACTTCTGGATAGGTTTGGTCAAATGAATGGAAGGCTGGAGGGTGGGCGGCCAAGAGAAGTCAGGCATCTCTCTCCATTGCTCTCTGCTTCAGGGGTGTCTCAGACAGTGGCTGCATCTTTGCTGTGGTACCAGGTCTGCTAATGGCTCTTGAACCATGGGCTCTGGTAACCTCTTCTTTCTCCCTTTGTCCCTTCTTATCCTGGGCCTGGTGATGGTAGTGATGACTGCTGGCTGTTACTGAACTCTAGGTCACCTTAACATTTTCAGCATGACCCCTCAGCAATTCAAACCTGCAAAACAAAATCCTTATATTAAATTCCCTGGGTTGAAAGGCCTACTGTGTTTTGATCTTGAGCTAGGGCCCTAGCTGACAGAAATGATCTGCGTGGCAGTATCTGGTGCATAGGGGATAATCATCGTGTGGTGCTGTGGTCCACAGCTGTGGCTCCTTATGAGCTTGTAAGGATTTCACCAGCCAACTTCTCTCTCCCTCAAGTGAAGAGATCATGAATCCACCTTCTTCCTTCTCTCTTTCTAAGCCATTTCTGGGTTCTTTTTGCTTTTTTAGTTGCATGGCCCAGGAGTAA